ATAAAACAAATCTCTATATATTTTTTCTATATATATATACAAATATATAATATATATATATCTCTGCCGATATATATATATCTATCTCTTATCTCTCTGGAAAGGATAAAAGGTTAATTTGTCTTCGCATGCACGACCAAAGCCACCAACCCACGGGGACAGCGGGTGCTGAGGGACACACGCCCCTGCCTGCCGGCACCCTGAGAGCCCAGGGGGGGCCACATCCTGCATCCCCAGGTTATTGCTGGTCAGGTCCCATCCTGCTCCGGCAAAAAAGCAGAGGGGGAAGAAGCCGAAGAAATGAAATCCCGCTGCAAAGCGCTGGTGAGCTCCTAGTCACCTGGCTGTTTTCCAGAGACACCCGCCGTCAGGGCACGGAGGGGGTGGTGGCATCACCCCAGGGCCGTGGGTGCTGCAGGTTTGGGGCGGGGCGCAGGCACCCAGTCAAAAGGCAAAGTCTGGATAAGGCGAAACACAAATAAAGAACAGCGACCGCCCCCAAACCGGGCGCTTTGCCACCCAGAACTGGTGTGCCAGTGGCCCTCGGTGGCCAGTGCTGGCCTCTGGGTGCCGCAAGGATGAGCTTGGGGACAGGGACACTGTCATAGGGCTGTGCTCTCTGATTCCTCCTCCTCCTCCTGCCGGGTGGCTGGGCCCAGCCCCGAGAGTCTCTGCGGTGCCTCCGGCGGGTCCCGGCACAGGGCAGCATCTGGGGGGACGTGGAGGGAGGGGACCTCAAAACGGAGCAGACCTGCAGGAGGGCAGAGTGATGGGGGACGCTGTGGCAGGGGCTCAGGGGCAGGACATCTCTCTGGGGCTGGCGCCGTGTTAGTGCCATCATCAGGGATGTCACCACCAGTCCCTGCTCTGCGCCACCCCACCCTAGCCAGAGCCTGTGCCACCCATCCCAATGGCCACGCTGTCCCCACACGCTGCCTGTCCCCCACGGCTCTGCTCTGCTCCCACACAGTGCAGGTGATGCTGCTGTCCCCTCTCCCAAGGAACCCACAGGGTGAGGTAGCACATGTAAGGTGACAGCGGGTGACCCACAGCCCGAGGCAGGCGGTGTCGGTGTCACCACTGTCCCTTGCTGGGAGCACAGCAACCCACCTCCTGCTAGAAAAAGTACTGCCTGCACCTGCCAGGCTCTGCTGCCTGTTCAGGGACCCTGCGATGGGGCAGAGGGAGGAGCAGACCCTCTGCTCTGCGGGACCCCACGGCCAGCTGGGCCAGAGCCGGGAGGGTCCCAACCATGCCTGGCCCCATGCTCCCCTGGCCTCTGTGTCCCCAGGTGTCCCTGATGCCACCCTGGGACACACACACACACACACACCAAACCCCAGGGACAGGGAGGTCAGGACAGCAGGAACAGTGACTCCTGGTGCTTCCCAGGGGTGATGTCACCTTCCTGGGGACATCCCCACCTTCCTGGGGATGCTTCCACTTTTCCAGGGATGTCACCAACTTCCTGAGTACATTGCCACTATCCCAGGGATGTTGGCACCTTGCTGGGGACATCACTACCTTCCTGGTGACAGTTTCACCTTCTCAGGGTCATTATCACCTTCCCATGTACACTGCCACCTTCCTGGGGACATCACCACCTTCCCGAGGATGCTGCCACCTTCCTGGTGACAGTTCCACCTTTCCAGGGCTGCCGCTGCTTTCCCAAGTACATCACCTCCCCAGGGACACTGCCACCTTCCTGGGGACACTTCCACTTTGTCAGTCATTGTCACCTTCCCGGGGACACTGCCACCTTCCTGGGGACATCCACCACCTTCCAGGAGACAGTTCTGCCTTTCCAGGGACACTGTCACCGTCCTGGGGGACAATGCTACCCTCTTGGGGACACTGCCACCTTCCTGAGTGCACCACCACTTTCCCAGCTATGTTGCCACCTTCCCGGGGACCTTCCTGGTAACAGCTCCACTTTGTCAGCCTTTGTCACCTTCCTGGGGGACACTGCCACGTGCTTCATCATCTTCCCAGGGATGCTGCCACCTTCCTGGGGATAGTTCTGCCTTTCCAGGGACACTGTCACCATCCTGGGGGACACTGCCACCCTCCTGAGTGCATCGCCAGGGTCCCAAGGATGCTGCCACCTCCCTGGGCACAGTTCCACATTTCCAGGGCCTGTGTCACCTCCCTGGGGACACTGCGACCTTCCAGGGGCCACCCCCCCCAAACCCCGTGTCCCCCCTGTCTCTTATACA